TTGTTTTAATGGGTCTCAAAATTCTGTGACAGATTTTGGTCATGTTGTTTTCATTAACAAGTACCTAATTTAATAACTAATAACTTAAAAACTGCCACACACACAGAAAAACCAAATGGTCCACAAAACATTCTCCTTTCCTTCTGAAGACTTTACAATACATTGTAATCATTAACCAGTTCTTTACTACTAAACTTAAGTGGCCAGCAGACAAACCATTCTTCCACCACTGATTAAGAGTGGGTGGCAGGTGTTGGGGACAATATTCATTTAGCCTTCTGGGCTTTCTGGGCAGACTTGGGGACTTTGCTAGCTCCAGCTGCGTCCTTGTCCACTACTTTGATGACACCACCAGCAACTGTCCATCTCATGTCACGAACAGCAAAGTGGCCCAGAGGAAAATGGTCAGAGAAGCTCTCAGCACACATGGGCTTGCCAGGAACCATATCAATGATGGCAGCATCGCCAGATTTCAAAAGCTTTGAGCCATCTTCCAGCTTTTTCCCAGAGTGACAATCAATCTTCTCCTTCAGCTCAGCAAATTTGCAAGCAATACAAGCTGTGTGACAGTCCAGCACAGGTGCACTGCCAGCACTGACTGGGCCTGGATGGTTGACGATAATCACCTGAGCTGTGAAGCCAGCAGCTGCCATTGGTGGGTCATTTTTGCTGTCACCAGCCACGCTGCCATGATGAACATCTTTGACAGACATGTTATTGACACTGAAGCCCACATTGTCCCCAGGAAGAGCTTCACTCAAAGCTTCATGGTGCATTTCAACATACTTTACTTCAGTTGTAACACTGACAGGAGTGAAGATGACCACCATGCCAGGTTTTAGAATGCCAGTCTCCACTCAGCCCACAGGGACAGTACCAAAGCCACCAATTTTGTAGAGGCAGATTCAGGGGCCTGTCAGTTGGATGAGTCAGTGGCAGGGTACAATCCAGAGCTTCGAGCAGCATGGTTCCCCTGGCACTGCCATCTCTTCGGGTGACTTTCCATCTCTTGAACCCAGGCATGTTAGCACTTGATTCAGCATGTCGTCGCCATTCCAACGAGAAGTATGCTACTATATCAGGGTTGTAGCCCATTTTCTTAACGTAGGTGCTGACTTCTTTAACAGTTTTCTCATATCTCTTCTGGCTATAGGGTGGCTCAGTGGAATCCATTTTGTTAACACCAACAATCAGCTGTTTCACACCCAGTGTGTCAGCCAGAAGGGCATGCTCACAGGTCTGCCCATCCTCAGAGATGCCGGCTTCAAACTCACCAGCACCAGCAGCAACAATCAGGACAGCACAGTCAGCCTGAGATGTGCCTGTAATCATGTTCTTAATAAAGTCTCTGTGTCCTGGAGCATCAATGATGGTCACAGAACACTGGTTTTGAATTCCCACAGGGAGACATCAAAGGTGATACTGCACTCAGGTTCAGCTTTCAGTTTATCCCAGACCCAGGCACACTTGAAGGAGCCCTTCCCCATCCCAGCAGCCTCCTTCCCAAAATTTTCAATGGTTCTGTGGATTCCACCACATTGTAGATCAGATGACCAGTAGTGGTGGACTTGCCAGAATCTATATGTCCGATAATCACAATGTTGATGTGAGTCTTCTCCTTACCCATTTTGGCTTTGATTCAGTGGTGGTTTTCTCAACACCTGTGTTCTGGCAGCAAACCCGTTGGGAAGAAGCAATAGGTGAAATTTTTGAATACATCAAGAAAGGTTTCATTCATTTGCCAAGATCTTGAGTAGTTTCTGCAAGATACAAAGTGGGTAAGTCTGGGTCCAAGAAAAAGCACCAAAACATGTTATTAGCTGCAGGACAAGTGAGTACTACATGGTAAATGGAGCACATATCAAGTGGAATCTCTTGATTCACAACCGCAGAGGCTAAAAAGAGTGATAAGGCCACCAACAGGGTCAGATATCCTTCCTAATTTCTGCAGGGCACTGCATTCTGCATCCACATGGGAAATCTCCCTCCCCCAACAAGGACTCATGGCTTGTCTTTGTCACATTTCATCTCTGCCACTTACTGGCTGTGTGAACCTGGGCAAATTCCTTCACCTCTCTGAGCTTCAAGGTCCTCCTTATAAAATAGGACTGATATTAAAGTATGGCAGGTGTATTTAAAGAGTTCTAAAAATTCATTCCAAGTGCAGTTTATGTTTATTCCTTCCAACAACCTAAAGAGGTGCTGTCGATGCCTCCAGCCGAAGGCCCCCAGGGGCACCCCTGTGGATGAAGTAGCTGATGTTATCGGTCATTGCAGTGAGGGAGAAAAAACTTACTTTGGGGAATTGCGAGGCATCTTAGTAAAGGGTTTTAGAACCAAAGAAGCAAACTCAGTAAGAGATGTCTACTAAAGGTAATTTTTGCAAGAAATTAGTTTACATTATTGTGGGGAACTAGCTGAGTCCGAGACCCACAGGGCTGACCACTCAGTGGGGTCGGCTGGAGCTCAGCACGGATGAAAGCTGCAGCCCAAAGTGGAATCTGTTCCCTCGGGGAAGCCTCAGCTCTGCCCTGGAGACTTCTGGACTAACTGGATCTGGCTCACTCCAATTATCCAGGATAACAATCTCTATCACTTCAAGCTAACAGATTATGAACTTTAATCATATCTACAAAATATTAATGTTTAACACTGGTTGTATAGAGGTGAGCATAGCTGCCTTCCAAAATATTAATGTTTGACTGAAAAACTGGGGACTATAACCTCCCTGACACATAAAACTGATCATCAAACTCATAAGGTTTGTGTTGGGTGATCTTGAGAAGGATATAAGAAACAGAGACTTTGTTCTTAATTGGATTCTCTTAGGAAATGGGTGGAGGGGAAGGGCAGTTCCATAATTGAGTATCTTGGTAAATCCTACCTGGAGGGAAGAGAGATAATACTGGAGCTAAAGATTTAACTGGTTATAAAAAATAATTAATAAAGCAGCAGCAGTCCACCCCAGGCTCTAATCAGTTGGTTAGAGCGTCGTCCTGATACACCAATGTGGCAAGTTTGATCTCTGGTCAGGACACATACAAGAAGCAACCAATGAGTGTATAAATAATTGGAATAACAAACTCTCTCTCTCTCATCAATAAATAAAAATAGGATTAAAGAAAAGAAGCAGGAGTCATTCATGTTATCTGGGAGAGAGGTGTGCTTAGTCATTTTTGTGGTTCAGAGATGTTCATGTTTTTGATAGGGAAATCAAGACTTGGAAAATTTTAGCTTAAGGTAAAAAGTTATAAGTCTAGCAAGTAATGTGTATGTTAAAGGTTTTGTTTCAGAAACTACAGATAAGGTCTATCCTGGCTCCTGGGAAAACAGCCAACCTCCTGGGGCACTGCTAGAGATTACCACTTGGGGACAAGTTGGAGGCATCTGGGAGTTTGTGTTCCAGGGAGAGACAGATGATCACCCTCCCCTGGGAACAGCTAACTGCCCAGGACAGGAATGTTGCAGTTTCTAAATCTCAAAGCCCTCACCGAACCTTGTTTATCCCTCCTCCATCCTATAAAAGGTCTGGCCTAAAAAGATAAGGCAAGATGGTCTATTAGGGTATGAACCCACCACCTTCTCAGATCGATGGACATCTGAATAAAGCGCTCATAAAGATTCAATCGCTGTCATTGCTTATTGGGTTTGGTAGTGACAGGCAGCCCGAATGCCAGTGTCTTTTCTGGTTACATTTTGTTTGTGTTCAGACAGTTCCTGAGTGTCCTCATTCCCTGGGTTGACCCACCACAGCCACAGAGTGACTGTCCAACACTGACATTCTATTAAATTGCTTATGTTCAGCAAGAAAAAACCAGAACCTAGCTGTGAGTACCAGGCCAGCTCCTGGTAACATCAGGCCTGGTTAACAGCACCAGGAAGCTCCCAGACACAGGGCTTTTCTGTCTCCCCCTTCTTCACATCACTGTCACCATGAAGTAAGACAGACTGCTGAGAAACTGAGGGCCACCTGACAGGGACAGGGTGGCTGACTCCAAATGGAGCCCCCATTACCCTGTGGCTTCCGTGACACACAGAAAATGAATTCTTCTGAAACAAAATGTCTCCCTCCTGTGGCTTTAGCTCATTCCCTAGTCCCTCACAAATATATGGAAATTTCACATGGCAGGATAAAAAATATGAAAATATCCAGTAAGTTAAGGGAAAGAAATCAATTTTCTAAGTCACAGCAACCCCCCTCATTATTTTACTTGACATTCTTAAATTTAAAAAAATAAATTGTGGAGTGAGCCATCAGAGCTTTCTTTAATATAATCAATGTCCCAAAATTTCCTCTAAATGGACATAGGCAGCACCAAAATGCAGAGTGTGAAGAGGACTCAAGGCAGGAAAAATTCAGATGCAAGACCGTGCAGTTACCATAGGCAGCACTACATTGTAACTCCTTTTATTCCCCCAGGCACAAATATTGGAGCTTTTGAGAGTATAAGAAATAATAACAATAACTTAATCAACAGAATTCATATGAGTAGAAAAGGCAAAACTATTCCTTGGCTACCACAGGCAGCGATTCCTTGATGAGTGAGTGGGTCAGCTCAAAATTTGGAGTCCGTCTGCACTGTGAATACAAAAAGAAAGACAGCTAAGCCACACATGGAGACCAGGGAATGGGGAGTGGGCTGGGCTGTCAGGGAGGGGAACCAGCTCAGGGGAATCCTTGAAGGTTGTAAACCCAGAAAAGACACTATATTAGTAAGGACTGCCTTTATCCATGAGGCTGCTCAGAAATTCCCACCACTGTTGCCACCAGCAGGCATACACACAGGAGAGAAGATTGTGATTTAATGGCCTCCCTCCTTTCATAGGAAACTCCCTCAGGTCCACTCGGAGTGTAGAGTGTAGGCTGCGTCAGAACCAGGGGATTTCCCAATCCCTGCCTGGCCTCTGCTACAAACTTTTCAACTGGCAACTGAGGTGTCATCATAGGGGATTTTTCTGATTGGCCAGATCCTGATCTATAGAGTTTGGTTTGCGTGTTTTTAGATTTCTTTCTCAGCTGGGTCCTCACTGTTGCTCTACAACTTAGAACGGCACCTGCTGAGACCACCTCGAGAAGAGGATGATCCTAAACAGAGCTCTGATTTGGGGGAACTTTGCCCTGATCTCCATGATGAGTTTCTGTGGAGGTGAAGACATTGTGGGTGAGTGCACTGCAAAGGGATGTGGGGACTAGACTTGGGAAACAGAACTGGAGGGTGAAAGAGGTGGATTTGCATTGGATAGTAGATAGTCCTCAAAGACATTCTTAATTGAAGCGGATCCAAAAATTAGGGTCCTTCCTTGTTTTTAAAACCAGAGCCCCCAGCATTATGCTGAGTGAAATAAGCCACACAGTGAGGGACAAATACCATATGATCTCACCTTTAACTGGAACATAACCAACAAAGGAAAAAAGCAAGCAAAATATAACCAGAGACATTGAAATTGAGAACAACCAAACAATAACTAGAGGAAAGGGGTGAGGGTACAATGCGAGGAAGGGTTTTCAGGAACTACTATAAAGGACATATGGACAAAACCAAGGGGGAGGGTAGAAGGGAGGGAGGGAGGTGGGTTTGGCTGGGGTCAGGGGGAATGGTGGGAGGGAAATGCAGACAACTATAATTGAACAACAATATAATCTTTTAAAAAATTAAAATTTTTAAATTAAAATTAAAAATAATAAAATGAGAGCCACAACCCAGTCCCTTTGCTCCCCATGCTGTTGCACACTGCACCGAGGACGCTGCTGTGCTTCTGACATGGGATCCTGAGTACAGTCTGCGGGCTCTGTGGCACTCATACATGATTGCCTCAAACATCAGGGACGTTTTCATGAGTGGATGTTTTGTTACTGAAAATTCATGAACTATGGCTCCCAAATTTTGCTGAACCACTTTTTGAGCTTTTTATACATTTCTTATGAATCATGAACACTAAGTAGCTGTAAAGAAGGGTTCTTCATTTTGTCTCAGATCTACATACATTTCCATGCTGAGAACCAGCGCGGGTAGGGAGTGGTCCTCACTTAATCTCAGTTACTTCTTATGTGTCACTCACAAATAACCAAGTAAAATAGGTATATAGACATACTTCCTAAATAATGAAGACCTATAATTGTCAATGATATTCTTATTTTTACATTATTCCTATTACAGGTTAGCTTTACAATTTTTCATGAACAAAGAAGAGAATATGTTTATTCTAAAATTGAGAACTTTATGATGAAAACTTGGTGAATTAAATTATATTCATCTCAAATTGTCAGCCCAATGGCCTGTTCTTCACCCCATCAAAGGAAGTGTAAGAGGAAGACTGGGCAAGCGTTGAGTAACCATTTGGTCCCCTGGGCCCCTACACCTCTGTTGTTTACCTCTTTCCACCCTCTCTCTCTACTTTCCTGCATCCCCCTTTCTTTCCAGGATCCATCTCTAGCTCTTTCCCCTACTGTTTCATTGGCATGAAGAGAGGGTTTGTAAAAACCAAAGCAGAAAAGACAAATCATTCAAAGGGGAAGTGAAATAGAGGTTACTCTATAACCTTCAGCGACTTTGCTAACCATGGCTGCTCCCCTTCCTTCTTCGTTGGGCAGCAGAAGTGTAACCTGCTTCTCCAGAGCAGGTCCAAATTTCCTGCCCACCCTCACACCAGGGCGCCCTTACCCAATGGGCTCGACTTACCCATTAAGACAGTGAGCACCAGGCCAAGGGCCTGAGATGCCTGTAGGGCCCCATGAGAATGCTTTAATTTCTTTTAAAATTAGAAGAAAAAGTGGACTTTTAGGGTAGAAGAACCTATTTTAATTTAGCCTGGATTATATTTGTCTTTATACCAATATGGTCATAAAATATGACTTTTTAATTTTTTATGGAAAAAAAGGTGCCACTTAAGCAATGGTGCTTAGGGATCACATATAATGCAGCCCTGGTCACCTCTGAGTCTGATTTTCATAGGATTCTGCTACCCTTGTGTCTGTCAGTCTTCCCCCAAACCTCTGTGATCCTCGAGAATAGCAATTGGCACTGAATACACAGTTTGAGGGCACAGAAAGCTAAGTGTTGGGGATTTAAAGATGAAGGTCATACTGTCTGCCCCCTAGAGGGTGCTCAGATTAGTGGTGGAGACAGTGTGGTGCCGGGGAGCAGAACAGGGGTCCCAGGGAGGCCAAACTGTGAAAGGGGATTAGTTCCAGCTGGCCCAGCAGTGTGACATTCTAGGGCAACAGCTGGCTGCTCAGGACAAGTACCAGATGAAAAGAATAATCGCATATATTCGTGTTTCAAAAAGGAGTCAGAAGATTCATTACCAGGATAAGGAGGCTTTGCTGGAGGGCCTTTTAAGAGACCAACCAAGGGGGTCAAGCTGGGTGGGGATGAGGAACAGATACACTTATAAAGAAGGACATTTGGATGGAGGGGATGGAGACCATAATGTGGTAAAAAATATGTTTAGTGACAGAAACTAGCTAAAAATTAGTAACTAAGCAGAAACTTCAAAAATGAACTGGATGTGTCCAGAAAATCCTAAAAGATAATTTCAGGGAGAAAAACAGACCTTTGTAAAGACCCAGGAACATGAAAGGATAATGTCATTTGGTCCAATTGCAGATGAGGTACCTGTGGAGGACTCAGCCCAGCACACCGTTCTGGCTCCTTTACTCACCTGTCGCTCCCCCATTGGATGAGCTCCCTGATGGCAGAGACAATGCGTGATGCGTGTTTCACTCCCTGCTCCTTGCAATGTCCGAAACTTTGCTGGCACTCAGTAAACAAGGAAGGGTGGGAAGAGGCAATGCTGACAACTCAGATGTGTCTGGACCAATTGTTCAGCCAGGCTCATCTGGACAGAGTTGGCCTGTGGCTGCCCATCTGCTTTCCACCCTCAGAGAAGAGCAGGGCCAGGATGTACCCTGAGTCCTCAACAAATGCAAGTGCTGAGGCAGAGAAAGGAGAGGTTTAATAATGTCCTTTAAGAAAAAAAGGGGGTAAGACATAACAAATCCAAAATCTAATAGAATTTTCATTTTTATTTTAGAGGAAATTGGGTGCTCTCCTCTAAGAATCACTACTGCTACACAGAGAATTTAGAAGCATCGTTTATGTTTTATATAGTTTGTTAATATTGTCACTGTCCTTACCGCACTTTCTTATACCCTAAAGTAGTTAAAGAAACTTTTAAAATAATAAGATCTTGAGTGCTCTCCTTGGTTTAAAAAAAAAGGGGGGGAGGAAGGAATCTTTGTATAGAAGGATCCTGCTATGAGCCAGCCCTGAGGGGACAGGAACCACAATGAATGCGCTACATTAACTGATGAAGAAATTAAGTAAGAGAAAAACTTATGAAACAGATTCTCTGATAAACTGAATGTCTGGGAAGCAAAGCTAATGCCATGATCATTCATTCATTCTTTGTTTCATCCCATCACAGTATCTATCATAAACCCACGATGTACCAGGCACTGAGCTAGGCTGGCAGGGAAGAGCAGTAAACAAACCTGTGAGATTCTGTTTCTGCAAAACCTACATTAGAATGGAAAGGCAGGCTGGAGTCTAATTGGACAACCAAGGGGAGGAAGCAGGCATTGGGAATTGTCTAAAACCTCTGCGGAGGGTGGAGACCATAATGTTTAAAGTCAGTTTGTTCTGTCACTTGGTTTAATAAGATCCCTTTCTCTCCCTGTCCCCCACCCCCAACGCATTAGCTGACCACGTTGCTGCCTATGGCGCCAGCTTCTACCAGTCCTACGGTGACTCTGGCCAGTACACTTTTGAATTTGACGGAGACGAGGAGTTCTACGTGGACCTGCAGAAGAAGGAGACTGTCTGGTGGCTGCCTGAGTTCAGCACATTCGGAGGTTTTGACCCACAGGGTGGACTGAGAACAGTGACTACAGAAGAATACAACTTGGATATCATGATTAAACGCTCCAACTCTACTGCGGCTGTCAATGGTATGTGTCCACCAATCTGGCTCTTTACCAAATAAATCTGCCTCACTCCCTTCTTGCCTCCAATATATACCCTTCACTACTCTATAAAATATTCTCCTTTCCAAGGAGTCCCCAGATCTTCTCATGGTAATTGCTGAACCCTCATCCTCCCACTTCTTACAAATCACATATTTCCATGTAATACAAAGATTCTTGCTCCCATTTCACAATCCTTGAATCCTTCAAGGACAGATGCCATAGACCTCCTACCTTAGCAAGCAGGCCCTCGGAGGAGGAAGCACATGGGGAGGAAGCATAGGCAGTGTGTAACCGTTCACAAGCAGAATGGAAAACAGTGGTGGGTGGGCTCCTCCAGGATGCAATGGGAACCCTCAGGGCAGAGCTATTTGCAATTCTCATTCTAGCCCTGTTTCCTCATCACAGAGGTTCCTGAAGTGACTGTGTTTCCCAAGTCTCATGTGGAGCTGGGTCAGCCCAACACCCTCATCTGTGCCGTGGACAACATCTTCCCTCCTGTGGTCAACATCACATGGCTAAGCAATGGGCACCCAGTCACAGAGGGTGTTTCTGAAACCAGCTTCCTGTCCAAGAATGATCATTCCTTCCTCAAGATCAGCTACCTCACCTTCCTCCCTTCCGCCGACGACATTTATGACTGCAGGGTGGAGCACTGGGGCCTGGACGAGCCACTTCTGAAACACTGGGGTGTGTGTGAGTTCCATGTGTGTTGGTGCCTTCTTTTCTCTGTCAGGTCAGAACATCCTGCCTTTTAGCTCCAAAAGCTCATGTCCCAAAGCTTGTTTTCTACACTTCAAGGATTTCTAATGATAGACTATTATTCTCCCTAAACATGGTATGAAGTCTTTGTAGAGCCAACACCACCCCTTCCTTCCCGTCCCACAAACAGGCATGTGAATCAACCTTCTACATTCTGACCTCCACAACTTCACTTTTACAGAGCCTCAGATCCCAACTCCCATGTCAGAGCTGACAGAGACTGTGGTCTGCCCCCTAGGGCTGGCTGTGGGCCTTGTGGGCATCGTGGCGGGCACTGTCTTCATTATCCAGGGCCTGCGCCCAGGTGGTGGCTCCAGACACCAAGGGCCCTTGTGAGTCACACTCCAGGAGGGAAGGTAAGGATTCAGCTTTGTTAGAGCTGGGACCTGGAGATGCAGTACAAGAGGAATGAAAGTGGGAAGAGGTTGTGGGCACAGTTGTGTTTGAAAAGTTGCAGAACTGTAAAACAGCATGAAGATATCACAGGATCCCCTACGACCTACGGATCTCATGTCTGTCCTGTTATTGCAGGTGCACTGACAGTCTTTGAGAAGAGTGGATGTGCTAGATGACCGAGCACTGTTCTCTGACCAAGTTCATTATATTCCGTCTCTCCTCCAATACCCTTCCTCTTATCTCTTCTCTGGGACTTCAGCTGCTATTCTCTCAGAGCTCACAAACTGCACGAGTTTACCTCTCAACTCCTGATATTTTTTTCTTCTCTCTGTCATTACCTACCATGGGATTCCTGTGATATTCCATCCATCTACCTAATTCCTTGCTACCCTGATGTCCATGGGAGCAATAAATCCCCTTTATGAGGTCTTTTATTGAATTTTTTCCTTTCTTTTAACACAGGGCTGACTAGGACCATGGCAAAAAAAAATGGCAAACCCTTATGCTTCAGGCCCCTTTGACTTTATTTTCCAGATCGTATTTCATGCTCAGTAACACAGGAGCAACCAAATATAGCTTGATGATATCTTGATATCTTAGATGAGGTTAAGATTTCTCTCTTACCCTGGCTGGTGTGGCTCAGTGGGCTCCCTATGAACCAAAGGGTTACTGGTTCAATTCCTGGTTGGGGCACATGCCTGAGTTATGGGCCAGGTCCCCAGTTGGGGATATGCTAGAAGTAACCAATCTATGTTTCTCTCACATATCAATGTTTCTCTCCCTCTCTCCCTCCCTTCCCCCTCTCTAAAAAATAAAATAAATAAAATGTTTTTCAAAAAATATTTCTCTGTTCATGTAGCCACTGCCACTCACCCCCCATTTTAGGCATCAATAAAGATAATATATACCCTGTGTCATAGGTATACATTTGTTATAGCAGCAACACAAAAATCAAGAGGAAGTCCATATTTACTATAATATAGCTTTTAAAAGTTATTACAGAGAAGGGAAGGAAAATCTAAATTTCAAAAGTACCAAAAGTCAAAATTTTGGTATTAAAAAGTAAAAAAAAAATCCCAAAACTTTAAATTTACTTTAAAAAATGAATGATATTAGAAACTTTCCTCTCTTCTCTTTACCTTTGAGGAGATAGGAATTCTCTAGGCAGGAGAATAAATGAAAGTTAATTAGGAAAGCATTGGAATACAACACTAATGCGTGTATCTGAGAAGGAGCAAATACTTTGTCTACTTAAGGTTGGTGACAAATGGAAAGCAATGGGAGTAAAAACCACAGGCATATTTGGGGTCCTTAGAATACAGATGTAGTTTGCCTCACCTCCCAGATGAAGTCCTGCTCTACAGCCACGTAGACTTCCCTGCGCCTCCACAGTACATCAGGGACAGGAGAGGGAATGTGGCTGCAGGGTGTGTCCAGGCAGATAAGCTGAGGTCAGGCCCACCGAATCCCTGGGTGTCCCTGTGCCCCCTGGGAGCAGCAGATCAGCCCGGTATGGCCGGCCCCCTGGCCCTCTCTGCTCCTGGCTAAGGAATCATGAGCCTATGAGAGTGGAAAGCATGGCCCCTGGGGGGGGGGGGGCGGCGTGTGGGTGGAGGACAACGTGGTTGAGATAATGTAGCAGTAGCTGTGGGTGCTGGATCCTCCTTTAGATTCAGTCTCCCAGTGGAAACCCTTGCAGAAGAATCGGAACAACAGAGGGGATTCTCTGGCTCTCCTGAGTGTGTCCAAGGCCTTACTCTTGAGAGTGTATGTGACCCAACTTGAAGCCGTTTTGCCTTTTGAATCGTGTTCAAATCGTGTTTGCCTCAGTCTTTCCACTCTAATTACTGAGTCCATGCATTACATCTAGGATGACATCGTGAAAGGGCTACAAAATGTATGAGGCTGTCCCTGTTCATGTCACATGCCTCAGTGAGCTTGAAATGTAACTGGGGGAAAAAGATAAATACTAACGTAGTAAAGAATACTGACGTATACAGAATAGTTCGGTACAAAGAAACCTAAATCCAAATCCAGGACTCGGTACCTTATAGCTGGTGTTCTAAACTCTGTAACACTAGGATAAGTGTCTAATGTTCTGAGCCATATTTTTCTCACCCACAATGTGGGAATGATAATACCATGCAGAGGTATTGACAGAATTTGAATAATCTTGATATACAGTAACTTAGAGATCATATGCAAATACACAACAAAACATTGCTAGTTCTTGCTTGGGCAACACATACACTAAAATTGGAACCATAGAGAGATTAGCATGAAGGATGACTTGTAAATTCAAGAAGTGTTCCATATTTTTTATGTAAATGTCTAATCACTATGCTGTGCACCTGAAATTAATATAAGATAATATTGAATGCCAACTGTAATTAAAAAAATAAAAACTTAAAAAAGAAAACATTGCTAGTTATATGCATAATTAATTTGTTAAAAACAATGTACCATATTATATTGAAAAGCACATTTGCTTTTTGATCCCTTTAATGATTTAGGAGATTCAAACATGGAGGTATGGATGAATTTTTTTCATACGTTAATTGGAGGAATTTTTCCTCTCTGGAATGAGAGAGACTAAGATTGGGTTAAACTGAGACAATAGATAGCATATAATAGTCAGTGACATATTACTGGTGAAGAGGTTGCTAAGAGAACTTTTAGACCAAAAAGTTGTAATTATGACTTTAGGTTTTTACTCTCAGATAAAAGATACATCCCTTCCTTATAGCCCATAAACTTTTAGTCAAGGTATGTTGTATGCAACAGATTTTTATGTGGGTCTCCTTTCGGGAGGAGGTGGGAAAGATTCAAGGAGAAAAAGCTTCCTGAGATAGAAGAGAGTAATTAGAAATGCAGACTAGGAATTAGTATTGCATGCAGGGTATCCGAACCAGAGACGATCATGACAAAGTAGGTAACAGAGCACAGAAGATTTTTAGGGCAGTAAACACTCTGAATGATACTGTAATGGTAGTAGACACAGGTCGTTTTCCATTTGCCCAAACCCATCTAATGTGCAACACTGAGAGCAAGCACTCATGTGAACTGCAGACTCTGGGTAATAGTGATGTGTCCATGTGGGTTCATCACTAGTAACAAATGTCCCACTCTGGTAGGGAGTGTTGATATGGAGGAGGCCGTGAGTGTAAGGGCAGTGTGTATACAGGAAATCTTTGCTCCTTCTGCTCAATT